AGAGGGACAGCGCGGGGGGGACAAGGACAGGGTCAGGGATGGGGACACACAGGGGGCGACAGGGATGGGGACAGCCCGGGGGGGACAGGGACACCCGGGAGGGGACAGGGATGGGGACAGCCCGGGAGGGGACAGGGACTGTGCCCCTGAGGTAGAAGCTGGGGATGGAAGCACCTGGAGAGGGACAGGGAAAACTCCCAGAGGGACAGAGACAGTGTTCCCGAGGGGTGGGAGGGGGGACAGGGGGAAGACACCCCAGGGTGGATGGGACAATGTCCCTGGGACCACGGGGACACCCCTGGAGGGAAGGGGACAAAGAACTGGGGGCCATGGGGACATGACACCCCCAGAGGGATGGGGACAGATGGTCCTGGGGCCTCGGGGACAGAGAGTCCCAGGGGAGAACAGGGCCTGGGACACCTGGGGGGGATGGGAATGATGTCCTGGGGTCCATGGGGTGGGACACCCCGAGGGATAGGAACAGGGATAACCCTGGTGGGACAGGGCTGATGTCCCCAGAACCATGATGACACCCTCAAGGTGACAGGGACAATGTCCCTGGAACTCTGGGGACAAGACCAGCCCAGGACACTGCAGAGAGACATTCCTGGAGCCTTGGGGCCATGTGGGGACAGGGACACCCCAGGGACACAGGGACAGCTCAGGGGGGACAGGGCCGATGTCCCCAGGACCAGGGACAACCCCTGAGGGATGGGGACGGATTGTCCCAGGGCTTTGGGGACAGAACAGCCCCAGGGGGGACAGGGACAATCTCCCCAGGACCACAGAATGTGACACCTCCAGGGGCACAGGGACACCCCCGGGACAGATCTGGGGGGACAGGGCTCATGTCCCCAGAGCAGGGACAGCCCTGGAGGGGTAGGGGCAGCCCTGGGGGCACAGGGCCAGTCCCCCCCACCCCCTCCCCTGCCTCAGTTTCCCCCCCCTTGCTGCTTACTCATCCCTATCGATCCCATCGATCTCACCGGGGGCGGGGGGGTGCCAAAACAACCTTTTTCCCCCCCAGTTTTGAGGCCGGTGCTGGTTTGATCCCCCGGCTGTGCAGCCACAAACCTGGGGTGCTGCGGGGAGGGGGGGGCAGCGCCCCTGGGCCCCCCCAAATCCTTCAGGGGGAGGGAGGGGGCTAAAAATAAAATGTGGGAAAGCAGCGCCGGGGGGGCCGGGGGGGTGGGCGAGTGCCAAGGGAGGAGGAGGAGGAGGGGGAGGAGGCAGGACAGGCGGGCACGGGCGGGCACAGCACCCGCCCTGCGCTCCCGCAGCACCCACTGCCCACACCCTGCCGGGGTCTGGGGGGGGAACCCCCAAACCCCCCCCCGGGGGCCATGGGCATCCAGGGCATGGAGCTGTGCGCCGTGGCCGTGGTCATCCTCCTCTTCATCGCCGTGCTCAAGCAGTTTGGCATCCTGGAGCCCATCTCCGTGGAAGGTACCCCCCAGTTATAACCTTAATGAACCCTAATTATTGAGTTAATTAATCCCCCCCATCCCTCCCCCCATCGGTGACCTGTTGGGCCCTCTGAGGTCCAACCAGTCGGGTTTGGGGTTCCCTCCCGGGAGAGTTTGGGGCGAAGGCTGAGGGTTCGGGGGGTGGTGGAGAGGGCAGGTCCCCCCAGCCCCCCCTCCAGCCCCCCCTTGCAGTGTCATGGCCCAGCCCTGCTCTGACCTTCCCCGGGGGGCTGTGCCAGTGCTGCCCCCAAACAACCCGTCCCCAGAGACCCCCTGCCCCTCCCAGGGTGCCCCCACCCCCTGTTAACAGATAACAGGGACCCCCAAACCTCCCTGAGGTGGGACAGGGCGGCTCTGAGCTGCTCTTAACCCCCAAACCCCCCTGAGCTGGGGGGCTCTGCCACCACAGAGACCCTCAAAGCCCCCTGGGGATGGGACACAGGGACCCCCAGGCCCCCACTGACTCCCACCCCCCAAAACATAACACCAGGCCCTCCCACGCCCTCTCTGCCCCCCAAGCCCCCTGAGACCTGGCTTAGCAGGAGCCGGGGGCTTCAACCCCTCTGGGGGGACCCTGGAGATTTTCCAGGGTCCCAACCCCATCCCAAAATTCCCACCCCTCCCCCTGCGCCGGGAGGCTCCGCGGGGGCTCCCCAGGCTGGAATTATTAATAAGCCATCATTTATTAATTACCTTCGGCCGGGGAGAGGCGGCTCCGGAATGTTCTGCGCCTCCAGAATGTGGGAAACCCCTCGGGATTCGACACCTGGGGTGCTCCAGGGGCCCAAAGGGAATTTTGGGCTCCACCACGGCACCCTGGGGTGGTTTTGGGGCCGTGGGAGTAGCTGTAGGGGGGATGGGGTTGGTTTTAGCAGGGATGGAGGTGGTTTTAGGGGTTGGAGAGTTGGTTTTAGGGAGAATGGGGGTGGTTTTAAGGGGGATGGGGTGGTTTTAAGGGGTAGAAGGGTTGGCTTTGGAGGTGGGGGTGGTTTTAAGGGGATAGGGGTGGCTTTAGGGCAGGGGGGGTTGTTTTTAAGGGGGATCTTTGTCCGGGGGTTTTCTCCAGACAATAGCGATGCCGACGTGGAGCTCCCGACCATCCGGCACCAACCCGAGGGGCTGGAGCAGCTCCTGGCCCGGACCAAGTTCACTAAGATGGAGCTTCAGTCCCTCTACCGTGGCTTCAAGAACGTGAGCTTGGGGGTCCCTCACCCCCTGACCCCAAATCCAGGGGTCCTGGGGGTCTCCAGGGTCACCAGGTGCCACCTCCTTCCCAGGAATGTCCCAGCGGCCTCGTGGACGAGGAAACCTTCACACTCATCTACTCACGGTTCTTCCCCCAGGGCGGTGAGTCGGGGGGACCCCAAACCTGCCGGGGGGGGTCTGGGGGGGCCCATCCGGACAAACAGCCCCTGCCAATCTGGGGGAGTGACCGTCCCCTCGCCCTGCAGACGCCAGTTCCTACGCCCACCTCTTGTTCGACGCCTTCGACGCCGACCACAACGGGGCTCTGTGCTTCCAGGTGGGAATTCCCGGCGTGATTCATCACATCCTCCTCCTCCTCCTCCTCCTCCTCCCAGGCTGTGGCCGAACTCTCCCTCGTGGTGCCGGGGGCACTGCAGCACAAGGGGGGGTGGTTAAAAATAACGGGATCAATAGGGAACAAATCCCTCGGGCGCCCCGGGATCGATGTGGCAGCAGGAGGGGGGGGCTGAGTGGTGTGAGGGGGGTGGGGGTCCCTCCCTGCTCACACCCACGGCAGGATTTCGCCGTGGGGCTCTCGGTGCTGCTGCGGGGGACGGAGCAGCAGAAGCTGAAGTGGACGTTTGACCTCTACGACGTGAATAAGGACGGCTACGTCACCAAGGAGGTGACACTGGGGGACACTGGGGGGGCTGGCGGGGCGGGGGGCACCCAGAGAGGGACGTGCTGGTGCTCTGTGTGCCCCCAGGACATGCTGGAGATCATGAAGTCCATCTATGCCATGATGGGGCCCTGCACCGAGCCCACCCTGCGGGCCAGCGCCCCGGCCCAGCACATGGAGCTGTTCTTCCAGGTGACACTGTCCCCTCTGCCCCCTCCTGGGGCCACCTCCCGGGGCCACCCACCCCCGCTCAGCCCCGGCCACTCCCTTGCAGAAGATGGACAGGAACGGGGACGGCGTGGTGACCTTTGAGGAGTTCCTGGAGACCTGCCAGGAGGTGGGGGGACTCCGGGGGAGCTGGGGGGCACTGCCACCCTCCTCCTCCTCCATCCTGCCAGGCCTTGGAGTCTGAGATCCCCCTGCTCCTCGTTCTGTCCCAGAGTGATGTACTGGGGGGGGGGCAGGAGGGATGGGGACAAGGGGGTGATCCCGGGAGGGGGGACAGGAGGAGAGAGGCAGGAAGGGAATAGCAGGAGGGGGGGACAGGAGGGGGGCTGGGAGAGGAATGGGAGGGAGGGATGGGAGGAGTGTGATGGAAAGTGTGGGATGAGGGGTGTTGGGCAGTGGGGAGAGGAGAGAGGGGACAGGATTGGGGGGG